GCGAGGTGGCATGGAATCTACTGTTCTTAAAGGATAAGCAGCTTGCGGCTCTGCATCCTCGACGCCGAAACAGGATGTGACTGGAGCTGGCAATGCTGAGGCAGGCTCGTTGACAAGAGGACATGTGTCGCGTTTCAGCGCGGAACAAGTGCGTCAGCGGCATCGGGGGAGGCAAAGGGAGCCGCAGCTCGCAAAACGCAGGGCAAAGGGGGAAAACGGTCGATTGACTCTCCTATACGCTTCAACCCATGCTGCTGTGAACCCGGGACTGGCTTGCAAAGCCCTAGAAGAGAAATACAATCTCGACACAATTTTGTATCACTCAGGAGCACGCAATTGGACGCGTCGCCGAGGCCCACAACAAACCGAAGGATTAAAAATGATGTTCTTGCGTCTGGAAGCTATCAACCTTTAATATGCCATCACCTGTCGCCGGAACTCGACGGGGCAGCCTCCCGCTACTCCCCGAGGTCGCTTCTTCTACGTCTACCCTCAGCCCATGTTAGTTTCCATTGTCTGAACGACGGGTGTGGGCTGAATTCGGTTGTTTGCTGTTCAGATTCTCGGCCCTATCAACGACATGCGCGACTCTCTCTCGAGAATCTTTATGGCGAACGACGCAGGACGGCCTAGATTCGGCAAGGCTCTATCTCCTGAGATTTGCTCGTCTATCCACGGCGAGGAAGAAACTAGATTTTGACAGTTGCACCTTTCTTCTCAAGACTTTTTTTGACAATGCGAATGTTCTGATACAACAATCGTGAACGGGAAGACCAAGACTTCAGTTCTCTTTGTCCGCTCCCATGTCTGATCAGCCCTCTAGTTTCAACCTCTCTAGGTCCTTGATCGCCTCCTCCAATCTCTTCACCTCGCTCTCGGCGTCCTGCAGCTTCTCTTCCTCCTTCTTTTTCGTATCCTTGTTCGCCTTTTCCCACCCAGCTCCGCTCATAATCTTCTTGCTCTTCTCCACGCGGGCTTTGGCATCCTCAATGCTCTTCTGCCGCTTCTTCAACTCCTCCGCCACATCAATCCGTCCGGCAATCTTGAGATACACGGCGGCGTCCGCATTGATGCTTTGCACAGCGCACCCGGCCGGCGGGAGGGAGTTTGGAGCTGGTGGCAGAACTTCGATCTCGCCAGCGTATTTGCCGCCCAGAGACTTGATGGACGTCTTTTCATCCGACACAGTCTTGAAAGCCGAGTCCGAATAGGTTTGGATGATAACATCTCCAGGCTCCTTGAAACCGTACTGCGAGAGCAGGCTTCGAATTCCCGATGCAATGTCCATGATAAACTCGTACTTCTGTGCTTCTTGCGGAGCGTCGAGTTTCTCGGTGAACTCGGGGTATTTTGCGATCATGATGCTCTCAGTGGTATCACCTTTCCGTCGTGGAAGCTTCTGCCACAAATGCTCTGTCAGGAAGGGCATGATAGGATGCATCAGCAGCAAGCCGCCCTCGAGTGCTGTGTACAAGGTCTGCTGAGCAGACCTTCTCTCATCCTCAGGGGCCTCTGGGGTAAGAATGTATTTCGAGTTCTCGATGAACGTGTCGCACAGCTGGGTGAACCAGTATTGGTACAAGGTGCCCGCAGCCACAGAGAAGTCGCGCCCTTCGATAGCGTCATTGACATCCTGCGTGGCAATGTTGAGCCTATGGAGGATCCATTTCTCTGCCAGCGATTTTGGTTTGTTGTCGGTCGGTGTAGCATCAGGGACAAAGTCTTCTCCAAGTCTTCCCAGTGCAAAGTTGGTCGCTTGGTAGATCTTGTTGCAGAACCGTCGCTTTGCTTCAATCTCCCGGATGTCAAAAGCCACGTCGCCTCCACCAGTGGTGTAATTGACGAGTGTAAACCGTAGGGCGTCAGCACCGCATTCCTCAATGCCTTTAGGGAATGCCGACTTCTGGTATGCTTTGGCACGCTCAATTTCGGCGGGGTCAAGATTGCCCGCATACAATGTCTTGTGGAGCTCTTCCAACGTGATACCTCGTATGATGTCCAGGGGGTCAATCACGTTGCCCAAAGACTTGGACATCTTCCGCCCCTCGGCATCTCGAATCAAGGAATGACAATATACCTCTGTGAAGGGCACATCGCCGGTCAGTTTCAGCCCGAACATGACCATTCTTGCCACCCAAAAGAACAAAATATCCCATCCAGTCTCCAGCATGGTGGTTGGATATAATTCTCGCATGTCCGAAGTCTCTTTCGGCCATCCAAGGGTAGAGAATGGCCATAGGCCGGAGGAGAACCAAGTATCGAGCACATCCTCATCCCATCTCAGCGTATATTTCTTTCCGGGGAATTTCTTCTCGGCCTTAGCCCGAGCCTCGTCTTCGTCCATGGCTCCTACCCAGAACTTGCCGTCGGCTTCATCACTTGTCCCGTCTTCAAGCTCAATGAAGTAAGCCGGTGCTCGGTGACCCCACCAGAGCTGTCGAGAAATACACCAATCCTGAATATTCTGCATCCAGAAATGGAAGCGTCGCGACTCCGATTCGGGCTTTATGAGAATTCGGCCGTCCAGTACAGCTTCGTCTGCAGCCTTGGCCATGTCCGCCATCCGCATCCACCACTGTGGTTTCAACACGGGCTCAATCACGTCTTTACTCCTCTGACACATGGGAATTGTCATTGCGTTATCTTCCTGCTTCGTATAGAGGTCGAGCTCTTTCAAATCGTTGATGATGGCGTAACGGGCGTCAAATCTTTTTTGGCCCGCATAAGGCCCTGCGCTCGCATTTAACGTGCCGTCGTCGTTCAGGATATTGATGAATTCCAAGTTGTGCTTCTTGCCCTTAATAAAATCGTTGGGATCGTGCGCCGGGGTGATCTTCACCGCGCCAGTACCAAAGTCCATCTCCACTTCCTCGTCCGCGATGATGATGATCTTGCGATCAGGAATGAATGGGTGGATGGCCAATTTGCCCACGAGATGCTTGTATCTCTTGTCATCGGGATGCACAGCAATGGCTGTATCGCCAAGCATTGTTTCAGGACGTGTCGTAGCAATCTCGATGAATTCATAACCCTTGAAGCGGTCTGGCGAGGTCGATGACTTGTAGGAATCATCTCCTTTGCTGATGGGATACTTGAAGTAGGTAAGTACACCAAATTCGATCATCTTGTCATAACCCGGCACTTTCAGCTTCGTTCGGCCTTTCAGCTCCTTGTTGTCCACCTCGAGGTTCGACAGAGAGGTACTGAGGGCAGAGCACCAATTCACCAACCTATCCGCCCTGTAAATGGTTCCCTCTTCGAACAGGTCGACAAAAGTCTTCTGCACAGCAAGAGAGAGATTGTCGTCCATGGTGAAAGCCTCACGCGTCCAATCCATGGACCCTCCCAAACGTTTGAGCTGGTTAGTGATGTTGCCGTGGTATTTATCCTTCCAGCTCCAGATCTTCTTCAGTAAGGCCTCTCTGCCAATCTCATGACGGGTCTTGCCCTCGGTCTTGTAAACCATCTTTTCCACCACGCTTTGCGTGGCTATACCGGCATGGTCACAGCCAGGAATCCAGGCCGTAGTCTTTCCTTTCATTCTTGCATGTCGAATCATTGTATCTTGCAGCGCGTTCGTAAGGGCGTGGCCCATATGCAATGATCCCGTCACATTCGGAGGGGGGATGGGAATCACGAATTTGCCCTCTGGTTTAACCTTCCCCTCTTCCGTAAATTGTGGTTTGAAGTAGCCTCTGCTCTCCCACCACTCGTATCGGCCGGCTTCGATCTTCTGGGGTTCGTAGGCATCAACGGCGGCGGCTTTCTTGATCTTTTCCTTCTTTGCGGTCTTGGGTGTGTCAGCGGCGGGTGCTGGCGCAGTCTGTTTCTTTGACTGCTTCTCTTGGAACTTGGCCAGCTTTTCGGCCTTCTTACGCTCTTTCTCAACTGTGGAAGGCATGATGGTCAGACTTAACATTCTTTCAATGCAGAGACACTGAGCAGTAATGTCCTGCGTGCAAGGAGTGGATGTTTATTGAGGGAAGAGTGATATGACTACGAGATCTTGCCCGCTCTTTATAGATGCTTTCCCAGTCATACACCATGGAGTGTCTGGCAGCCCGGTACTTGGCCTCAGGTGAGTCATCTCTTGTCGTGAAGTCTGGATCATTTAAAAGTAAGGGGAGTGGGTATATCAATGCGGTCCCTCGAGGTTATCTTGCATACTTTCTTTTGCAGTCTTCTCTTTGCCTGCTTCGCCCATCACTGTTTGACCTTTCTCGTTGTTTTGCAAATCCCTGCCGGGTACATTCTGACCCACGGCATCTTTTGCAGCCGAGCTTTTCGCCGCAGAGGCTATCTCGGAGGACACTGGAGGCGGAGGACCAGAAGGAGAACCAGTTGGCTCGCCAGCTAGCAGCCATGTCAGTAGATGTTGTACTGTTCGCTGAGTCAACATACTGATATTATGTGATGCGGCATTGAGCGCCATATTGAAACAAGAAGGCCGTCTCCAAGCAGGAGGGCGCCGGAGCAAAGATCTGATAAGTATTTTGCCCGACTGCCTTGCGGCGTGACTGCACTTGTGTTTTTGCTCTTCAAGTTAGATCTAGGACAACAGAAACTAGAAAGAAAGAAGCATGGACAGAATGAGTCAAACGAGGCTGGCTATACGACCCGACGGCAACCTGAAGTGTACGAGGTTTGGGGATTTATGAGTCGGATTTCGAACCCTGCGCGCCAATTAATGCGTAGGAATACCAGCCCGCCGCCGCCCTATGGGACGTCGAGACGTCAAGAGGTGCACGTGATCCGCCCCTGACAAGGGCCTAGCTACGTCAAGAGACTTTTCCATGCCATCGACCAGATTCCATCTTTCGCTAAATGCATGTGGGCGCATCTTATTTCACATCCAAGAATGGAATATATGATATCGAATTCGAGAACGGGTTGGACCGGTTGTGACTGAGACAAACATCCTAGTTTCCGTTTTCTGGCTTAAACTTGTACCTCTGACCACAAGATATCGCAATCTCTCGAGGTTTCATTCGATAAGGGCCTCATTCAAGCTCTGACTCAATAACAGCAAATGGTCCCTTTTGCTTAGCAGGCCAGATTTTGACAACTCTCAAGCCTACGCTCGCCAGAAGCGTGGTCCACTGCTTCTCACTGCGCTGCATCGAGCTGAAGGTGGTGCGGCTAATGTCCGCGAGCGATTCGAAGCCGCTGCATCCCACAGCGGGCAGGACGGTCTCGCAGACAAGCAATTTGGACTGACCCTTGACCATGCCGTGAATCTGGTTTCTCAGGATCTCGCGGCACTTGGAGTCCGGAAAGTCGTGCAGGACACGGCGCATGAAGTAGATGCGTGCTCCTATGCACAGACATTAGATCACGCGGATGGAAGACGAGGGGACATTTCTTTCGAACACGGCAGCCGAGGAGATGAAATTCCAAGAGAGTGATTCCATCCCATGGCGCTGGTACTTACCGCGAATAGGTTGTGGAGTGAAAAAGTCATACTCCATGACCTCGTATTTAGGATTTCTGGCACGTGCCTCCTCGATGATAGCGCCGAGATCCTGCACAACGAAGCGGGCTTTGATATGCGGATGCTCTTCCATGACCTTCTGCGTAACTTGGCCATGTCCTCCACCGACATCGACCATTGCCACACCATTTCCATCTGCTACAGACTCGAGCAGGGAATCTGGGATGGGGCTCGCCAGCAATGTTGCGGCACCTTTCATAGCAGAGTTGAAACGAGCAAGGCGGGCAGTATCATTGCGTAGATACGCAAAGAAATCGGTCCCCGTCGCATAATGTGAGAGGGTGTTGTCCGGCTGGTCAGGGTTCTTGTAACCGAGCTCAGCGAGGTAAGCCGGCATCTTGCCAATGCAGCCCCAACTGCTGTCAAATCTGGGAGACCACGGAAGAAGTCAGTGTTTAGACTGGCCGGATCCGATGGGGTTCCAGCCACAGAGTAAAGAGGCGATGAATAGATGAATGGAAGGGAAAACCTACATGTGCTTGTTCAAGTCGGCCGTAGCTGGCATGGTTAGAGCTCGCGAAACAGGGGTCGCAGCATACGTTTCCTCCCCAAGTTCAGAGACAATGTGGAAGCCCGTCAAGACCCGCATGAGGCGCACTGGCAGCCATGTCAGCAGACAAGCTCTTGGACTCCTGCCTCTTGTAGTTCGAGAGTGAGCACACCTATCAAGGTCACATCCGCCCCGGTCTTCTGCGCAAGCTCGAACGCGGTCGTGGATTCTCCAAGAAGGTTGAACAGATCCAGTTCCAAGGCAGTCCGCACGACGGCATTCAGCCATGGCTGCAGGGCATCAATAAGCGAAACCCGGGCTCATGTTTGGGGTCAATATCCTTCTCACCATGAATGCAATACGAGTCGTTTCTTGGGAGGGATTGACAGTCTCGCTGGCAATTTGAGTGGCGGCGGACCATATTTGCTGGCGCATTTGATTGGCTCTAAGTGTCTGGGCTTTCTCCTCTGCTGTGAGCGAAGCAAGCGCCTCAATCGAGGCATTGAGAGAGTCGCGCAAGGCAAGCAGTTTCGTCAGATCGTCAGATGGGGCCGACATTGTTGCTCGAGCCTGTTTTCTGCTGTGCAGCTCTCTTTCTGCTGGAGGAAAGCGGAAGACAGAGAAAAGTTGAAATAGGCTGTTTCGAAATATTCAGGAACTACGCACAGAATATCAGGCTGAGGGGTCTTGTGTAACACAAGGATTTCTTGTTTCAAGTTGTTAAGAATTGATCGCGAGATGGGTTCCGTCGCAACGACACAGTACGTCCTCAGGCCTATGGTACACCAGTACCAACTCTTTGATTTTTGGGAATGAAAGGCAAAAGTCAGAGATAATGAGAGCACGGAATCGCGTGAAACCGCGACACAATATATTTGTAGTGACACTTGCTTTCCCAGAAGGGAGCGGTGACCCCTTTTATGACAACGCCTTCTCGGACGCGATATAATATAGCGTCGGCGGACATCAATCCACTCGTCTTCTCAAGCATGGCGCCCGAGTAGGATTCAGGCCTCACCAGACACGGCTGATGACAAGACCGGAATCAGCGTTAGATTGGGCTCAGTCACAACACGCTCTTAGTATTACATTCGACGGATATTTGTTCAGAACTCCCGCCATCGACAGCCAGCAGCGCTGATTCGTCGTTGCTGGCCCCTTGTGGCGCAAAGCCGGCGAAGACAATGCAGGAAACGTGTCGACAGCATTCTTTGCACTGGAAACAGTCGTCCGTCGTGTTTGAGTGGCTGAGACTAATGCAGGTCAGCAAGGCGTTGAAGCCTCGAAAGGGATCCTACGCCAAGGTTAAGGCTGGCTGGCCCCTTGTTCTAAGCCGTTTCGAGATAGTGTCAGCTACCGAGATAGTTCATGCTGGGCTTGGAGTTGAGGGGAAAAGGGGGAAACTGACTACGAATTATCTCGTATAAAGGTGTCGATAGGAGTGTGTGAATGGATACCGCCCCTGCCGACCTGCAGTATGTTTTCAAGTTTTAAACTGCCGTGTCCCATTTCATGTACGTTTAGGGTTGTCTGTGTTTGAACTTCCCTATTTTCAGTTTCCAGGCTATTCTCAGAGGTTTGACATGAGTCAACAGGATCAATTAACATCTTTCCCGAATTTGATTAAACCAAATTTTAGTGTCCGGCCTTTGATACTGCCAGCATGTAGACGAGACAAGCACTCAACAACCACAACCATCTTCCGCAGAGGCGGTGACCTTTCTCTGGACAAGCGAGCTTACTAAGTTAAACCTCTCGTATCAGCTGGCGAGAAACGACCCTGTTGACAACGGCTTACCAATGTCTCTGCCTTAGAAGATAGTTGCGGATGGTCGGTAGTTTAAGGAAGTGGATGAGCGAGGGGGAATGCGAGGGATATCGCAGCTAATGTGTATGTCGATTATGGAATTAAGCCATGTCGCAGAGTAACTAAGGGTGCATTTAAGAGTTTCTGGGAAGACCTCTTGCCAAGGATTCGACTTCTTAACGAACGATGGCGAATAAGGTCTGGGAGAGCCTGACTGAACTCCAGGAGGCCGCCAAAAACAATCGCAACCCTTGGTTAGGGCACACACATAAATAATTTACAAAAGCAATACTCAAAATGCAAATATCAAAGTGACAAAAACTTTGCCACCAGCCCCTTTGATAGGGGGTGGTGGTAAGTGAAACCTTGCCTTTCGGTAGGTTTTTCCGTAGGTTGGGACATATTGCTACTGGCCCGGTGCCACTTTGACCTGATATGTCTTAATCGGTCGGTGTTCAGAGGGAGGATTGAACCCCAGGATATATCGCCTGCTGGCCCGGTGCCACTTTGACCTGATATATCTGGGTGGGAAGATCGATTGAGGAGGGAGGATCGCCTACTAGAACCAATTCCTTGCATGTGTTGACTTCGTTAAGTCTCTTTCTCATTGAGTTTGTTGGCTCTTGAGTCTCTTTCTGTTTTGTGGGTTGTTGACTCTTTAGCCTCTTTCCTAGTAGGGGTCTTTGCGATTGTTGAAAGGAATTGTGCTGTTCCAAAATATATGTTTGAAGGTCGGCTTTCTCATGTGACTTCATGTTCCCAGTCTTCACTGTCGACACCTCTGACCTTTCGGGTAACCATGCCGAAGCCGTCTTCAAGAGACAGCCTCGTTATGGTATTGTTCTCAATCCAATACATCCGAGCACCCTCACGGCATTCCAATGGATTCCGGGCCACCACCGGAGCACAGGGTGAGACATTTCGGATGCTCCATTGTAGTCTTCAATAAGGCTGACAAGCTAGCTTACCGTCTACTGGTGAGTGCATTGCAGATACAGATGGAGGCGTACCGATTGCCTAAGACTGCACAGCGACGTCTTCGTCTACACTCACGTTTAGAATCCCGATACCATGAGGTAGTTGTATGCCTTCATGGACGAGTGAGCTTCCATGGCCAGTCCATGAGCAGAAGATACCCCTATTCATCCTCGTCAGTGAAGGTGAACGGTCGTAAAATGCCGGTACATCAGGTATTAAAAGGGCAATACAGCAACCAGACAAGCATAATTCCACAGAATGCAGGTCGAAATTGATATATTGAATAGTATATTGATGAAGGCTCGATTGTTCAAAGGAATCTTCAAGCGACAAAGAATGTTGACAAGCAGATATACTTCTGCAACGCTTCCGTTAGCGCCTTGGCCCCCATGACGTCAGCCATCTCAGCATGTTTTCCCACCAGATATCTCGTGCGAAGATTTGCTAGATCATCGGACAGCTTGACGGATTCCCCGTAAAATAATCAAGTTCCCTGGCTATGGCTGTTGAGGTGAATTGGAGGTTGCACAAGTTTTTATCAGACCGCCAATGACCATGATCATGACTTTGCCCCTTTTGTCCCTTCTCCCCCAGCCGAGCGGCTTGAAACGATCCAGAATTGACTCTGGGCGAAGATTGATTTGTTCACAAGAGGCCAAAGGTGAACAAGGAAGTAATCTGGACTTGCCCAGAAACGAGTTCTGCGACAATATGGTCGTTTGTTTAGTATAAAAGATGCCACGACGATTTGACCAACGATAAAACACATTCAAAACCGTTGAAACAACGGCATTGCTCTGAATGAGCGAAACTGTCCCTCAGGCAGAAAGCTTGTTCGTTTTTACAGTAACCAACACCGGAAGGCTGGGTATAACAAAGTAAGGAAGTATGCAAGACAGGACAAGAGAGTTGCGGGCAGTCGCAACTTCTTTTGGTCCGTGGAGAGACTCCGAGTGAGCTCTATGCATCTCTTCCCAGTCTGCAATCTTGAGATCCGAACGAATTGACCAAAAGGTTTCATGAGCATCCTGAAGCGAAACTCTCCACTCACCTTGAGAAGATATAGCATGGCGATGGCGGCAGCCTACCTAGAAGAGTAATGATACGTGTGATCATGTGTCGGTGATAGAATGATCCACACATCTCAAGCCCCTCCGCCCAGACGTATATGCAGCATATGTATGTAGGTGTACGGTCCGCCAGTGAAAGGGGCCCCTGTTGTGGATTTTAACTAAAATAAAGAGGGGAGTGTATGAGTTGAATAGAGAATGGTGGAGAAGGGGGGGGGCCAAAATGTTTCTTCCCGTGAAAGGAAGAGACGCACAGGGGTGGCGGAGGTAGGAAGAAATAACCTCTTGACCAACTTGGCCAGAGTGACAAGCTTGTATCTCTTTTTGGCAGACAAGAAGGATGGCTAGTCCATAGACGACGAATGGAAGAATTTCAAGTCCCCTCTCCAGTGCATCGTGTGCCTTGGCTTGCCGCTTCGGACGAGGTAATGGTGCCTCCCAGGTCGGACTTGGGCTGGCCTTGTGGGGGTGCTACAGGAGCGGGAAAGGCGAAGGTGATGGTAGGGAACGAGAATGCATTACGCTATCGTGCCAAAAATGAGTTGAGTTCCTTGCAACACAAGCCCCTTAACAACTGTTCCTCATTCTTCGACCTGAGAAGATCCTTCGCACACTTTTATCATCCTCTCATATTAGCCTTCGCCGGTTTTCAGACTCCACATTGTTGAGCTCTATCTCGAGCTAGATGTTCTTGCGCTGCCGCGGCGTTGTGGAGGCTGAATTGTCGTCGTCTCTCATCACTCATTCCGAGAGCGTCCTCGGGATGCTCTGTTTCTCTTATCCTTGACCGTGAACCGGTGCCAGACACAGGTACTTGCACCAGAGAGTAGTGCTCGCTTCAAGAGACGTGGTTTTGGGAGTTCTGCTGCTGCGCCGCTGCATTCCTTACTGGAGCGAAGTAAGGATGTGCCATTGCCTCCTGAGCAGTAAGACGCTCCTATCGCAGAACAGTCAGTATCAACCCGCCATATCGGCAACAGACCTGTTGGCAACATACCTGGTGATCATATCTCAACAGCTTGTCCAGAAAGTCGATAGCTTCTGGGCTGACAAAGCGCTGATTGTCGGCATTCACAAAACTCTGCCACGGCTTCTTCGGGAACCTGCTCAGTATGTCGTCGTACTGCGCATCCAGTTCAATGTCATAGCGATCCAGATACTCAAACAGGTCATCTGTACCCAGAACCTTGGCGATTTTGACCAGCTGATCCGAGTTGCTGTTTCCGTGGAAGAAGGGTTCCTTGCGGAAGATCATGGAGGCGAACATTGCTCCCAAGGACCACATATCTAGAGAGTAGTCGTATTCTTGGTAGTCGACGAGTAGTTCAGGTCCTTTGAAATAGCGGGAGGCAACGCGCACATTGTACTCTGTCCCTTGGTGATAGAATTCAGCGAGACCCCAATCGATAAGTCGAAGCTACGTAGCCAATATCGTCAGCATATCACCCGTGGTCCTAAAACTAGAATGTCTTGCGTCGTTTTCTGTTTCCTCACCTTTCTTTTCGCATGATCGATCATAACGTTATGCGGCTTGACATCTCGATGCATGATCCCTTTGCTGTGGCAGAAATCCAACGCCTTGAGCAACTCGAAGATATAGTAGCGCACATCGTAGTCCACGAAGCGGGGGTACAGAGTCCGGAAATCAGTGTTGTCGACATTTTCAAAGATCAGGGAAGGCGTCTTGCTCTGGCTGTCCCGTACCACGTCCAACAGTGCCACAATGTTGGGACCACCGGCCAAGTTCTGCAAGATCTTGATTTCACGCTTAATTTTCTTCTTCTTGACAGGCTTGAGCACCTTGATCACACATTTCTGGTAGTTGACGATGTTGATGCCCTCGAAGACTTCGGAGTATTTGCCGCGACCTGCAAACCCCGGTCAGCTATTCCACCTCGTAATGTGTGTGTCCTTGATCACAAGCCTCACCGATTTTCCTAACAATTTCGTAATTCTCCAAGACACCCCATGAGATGGCTACCGAGTCGTAGTCCCAGTATGACCGCGGCATGTTAGCGTTGACATCCGCGTAGACTCGTGCCATGGCTGCGGTTGCGGCGGCTGTACTGCGAGGAGATCGCGGGCCTGTGTCATGCGCTGGAGGATCGACGATGGAAAGTTGGGCAGGACAAGGCTAGACTGTGCGATGACGACGACGACGACCTAAATGGATGTGGCACAGACGGCCGCAACAAGACGGCCGTTGACTGCCTATTGATTAAAGGCAAACGGCCAAACAATGAAGATGGAGAAATAAATGAGTGGAATGGAGGGAACCGTAGTGGTGGTACGGAGAGCGATCTGTGCTGCGGTAGCCTTTCGATCTGTATGCCATCCCACGTAGGAATGGCAGGCAGGGATCTGAAACTTGATCATGCACCCACTAGCGGATATATTTTCCCCGGCTACCGCAGTCGCAGCTTTTCACCATTTTGGATTTCAGCGAGGCCCTCTGCGCGCCGCTGCTGAAGGTCAATCAGAGAGCTCCCTCAAATAACAACATGATCGTCGTTGCTCTCGAACCGGCGCACACTTGCGTCTCCCAAAGCGAACAAGATGCCATTCCACGACCTTAACGTCCTCTACACTAGCAACCACGCAGACCTCTCCCAAACACTCGCCTTCCATGCTGAACTGGGTTACTCAGTGGTCGCCCTTTCTCTCTCGGTCACAGGCAAACTTCCATCCACGCCTCAACCCATCCCCGTCTCCTCGATCGTCATCCCAGAGAGCATTGGCACAGTCCTCACACGACTGACACTCACAATCTCCGACGCTACCCAAAACCATCGCCTATCTCAGTTCTCACCGGCATACTCCTTGCTTGCCGTCCGGCCCACAACAGAGAAAACCCTCCAAGTCTGCTGCACGTCTCTCGATTGCGATCTGATCTCTCTCGACCTCTCTCAACGGCTTTCATTCGCCTTGAAATTCAAAACCATCTCTGCGGCACTACAGCGCGGGATACGCTTTGAGATATGCTACTCCTCCGCGATTCAATCGTCAGGAAATAATGAGGCGAGGAGAAATTTAATCAGTGGTGCAACTGCACTCATTCGCGCAACGAGGGGCAGGGGTATAATCTTGAGCAGTGAAGCCAAAAACGCTCTGGGAGTAAGAGGGCCACATGACGTGATTAATTTGGCAACTATCTGGGGGTTGGGACAGGAGAGAGGGAAGGAAGCATTGTGTGAAGAGGTCGCTAAGGTCGTGAGGTTAGCGGGGATTAAAAGGACGAGTTTCAGGGGTGTGATCGATGTCATCGACGGAGGTGGGAGGCCTTCCGTTGCTACTAAGGGCGGAGAGGAAAAGGAGAACAGTGCTCGACATGAAGTGACCCAAGACCAAGTTGCGAAAGGAAGGGAAGAAGTGATCGTCAACGGTCTAAAACGGAAGGCATCCGGAACGCGCCTGGCAACTTCCACGGATCAGAATCGTCGGCCTACAGCGGAAGACAAACCCCTTTCAAAACGCGAGATGAAAAGAGCGAAGAAGGCTGGAATGGACAGAGGTGATGGTGGTAAAGCAGGGCCCGACGGCGCAGATACAAGCCGCGTCCAGGATACCGCTGCATCAGATTTTCCTATCAAGCACGAGACACTTTCCGATAAGAAAGTGTTCGCTAAAAGCTAGGGACCGGGAATGTCTTGCCCAGGTCCGGCTTTTCAATATACAAGAAATGAAACGCAATAGTACTGTCCGATCCGATGTCGTCCATGTCCTCGAAATCACTGGGTATATTCGTTCAATGTAGCGGGGTTTTTTCGTTTCTTTTGCGAGTCTATGATAACAGAGTCGGTACAGGTGCTCTTCTTCCAATACCTAGCGTATAGGCGTTTTTGAGCGTAAGGGTTGCAGGATCGATGGTATTGAATGAGCCGACCGGAAACCCGCCGCTTGTCGCTGAGGCTGCCTCCGCAGATGCTGAGGATTCACTTGAAGATGAAATTGTCGTAGTGGTTGATGAAGACGAAGACGAGGATTTTGAAGTGGTAGTGGAATTCGTTGATGCTGACGATGTTGTTGTTGTTGTTGCTGCTGCTGCTGCCGACGACGAGCTCGTGCTGGTAGTTGAGCTCGAACCTTCTGGCTTAGGAGCCTCTCCTGTTTTAGTAGGCTCGGCCATGTTAGATGGGACGCTGCTGCTGGGGCCAGAAGATTCCGTACCAGATGTCGTCATCGCAGAGCCTGGAGCCAGATTGTTAGAGGCATGGTCTTGACCTTCAAAAGAGCATTAGAAAGACTTACTCGATGACTGCCCAAAGAAGCCACCAGGAGAGACAGCAGCAGTTGGTGCCGCAGCTGGTGGAGCGCCAGCCACCGTCACGCCGGTCTTGATGGCTTCCGATGCTGGAATCGACGAAAGACCAGGCGTGAAGGACGGGTTGGAAGATGTGAAGACGGCAGCATTGCCCATTCCTCCCCATTCCCACCCGGACGCCATAGGAGGCGGGCTGCCAGCACCGCACCAGCACCCGGGGGGAGCGTTCATCCATTGAGTCACGTAGGCGGTCACGGTGCTTCCCATACACGGGGACACGGCCGTTACGGTTGTCTGTAATCCTTGATGTCAGTGCTGCCAACTTGGGGGGCAAACCGGCGCGCGATCCAGAACCACTCACCGTCTCGGTCATGGTCTCTTTCATAGGAGGCGGGCAGGTCTGGGCCGGACAGCTGGGGCAACTCGGGGCTTGGTAGGTAGTGGTTGGTGCTGCCCAGGACGAGTATTGATTGTTGTAGTTGTTGCCACCCCAAGAGCCACCCTGACCGCCAGAGCCGCCGCCGCCATACTGGCCTCCTTGGTTCATCCCGCTGTCACCACCTCCACTGCCCCAACCGGAACCAGAACCGGATCCGCTGTCACCACCCATGTTGGGACCAGCCGAAGCCTATCTGCCAGTCAGCCAAGAATGTCGCACGAGACTCAGGAAAATGCAGAAGACCATACTTGCGCCAGGCAAGCAGCCAAAACGGAAAGAGCGAAAAAGGAGCGGACAGCCGGCATCGCGATGGAATGTAAAGTGCTATTTCGCAAAGGAATGGCAATAGGAAAAAAGAGAATTAGATGCTGGTCCAGCAACAAAGAACGAACGACTCTTTTGGGGAGACAGATGAGGAAGATGAGGGATGGAGATGAGAAAACATGGCGAAACTTGGGCCTCTAAATGGACATTTTGAAGTCAAGATGAAAAGGAGACATCGACAAGGACCCAAATTGAAGGGAGCTGGTTGCTTTCGGTGTGATGGACATCCGGACAGCGGCTTCAGACGACGAATGCTACGGAGTGAGCACGGTCAGCCAAGGTCTGAGCCGGGCGAGGAGAGCCGAAGTGGTTGCGGCGGGCGCCCATCAGGTCGCGATTGGGCCAAACTAGATCTCAAACACCAGCTGCGACGTTTGCTTCTTCATCACAGTCTCGGAGTTGAGCCTCCCAGTGGCTGGGGCGTATCAGGTTGAGGGTGAATTGTAGCAGGCGATGGGTGCTGAGACAAAGGGGTGTTTCATGCCGGGCGCTTGGCGCGGACCTGCGACACGGCCAGCTCTTCGGGTCTCTCATTGGCCAGCCTTATCTAATCCTCTATCTACTAATACAGCCTTGCAGGCTTGTAGCGCCTCGCGCCATCTCGAAACTCGATGGTCCAGATCCCCTTCCCCAGACTTGACCCATTACTCGTCTATCTTCGCGAGCACCCCTCGTACCTTGGCAACAAGATCCTCTACCTTGACAAGCACGCCCTCCTTTTCAGGGTCGCCCTCTGGCAGACCCATCTGCTTAACCTTCACCTCCCCTCTTGCCTGCTCATCTTCCCCGAGGATGACGGCAATTGGCGCCCCAGCACGGTCAGCTTCTTTGAATTGCTTCTGCAGCTTCGCCTTCTGTTTCCAGAAAGTCTCCGCTCTTATGCCGGCATCCCTCAGCGCAACGAGGACGTCGATCCGTTCCTCAAACATTCCGCCAAAGCCAGACCCCCCAAATGCCATGACATACGCATCGGTCCTGTTGTGTTTGATGTAGCTGAACTTTTCGCCCTTTGCAATCCTGGCTTTGGTGATGGCAATTATTCGATCAATACCGAAACTTACACCAACACAGGGAATGTTGGCGTCGGGTCGGAAGCGTTCGACAAGGTGATCGTAGCGACCACCGGCAGCAACGGATCCCACACCTACAGATGGGTCTTCAGATCTATCTTCGTCCTCGGAGATTTGTTTCCTTTCCCTCTTAGGAATACCGTTGGGCGCACCATTTGTCGCAACAGGTGCCATGGGAGGCGCGGAGTCGGTCGCTGGAGCTGGTGTGCGCGCAGGGGCAGAGCCCTCAGTGACAACTTCATAAATGATGCCCGTGTAGTAGTCAAGACCGCGCGCCAGAGATAGATCGAAAGAGATTTTGTCGAGAGCCTTCCACCTCCGGAGATAACGCATCAACAGCTCCATCTCTTCAATACCCTTTTTTGCCTTTGAATTGCTCATAAGAGCCTCGTCTTTCTGTAACTCTTCCAGGAGCTCTTTGCCTCCCTTCCTCGTGACGTATGTCTGTATCTTGTCGGCGACTGATTCTTCTAGTCCCTTTTGCTCAACCATCTCCTTCTTCACTTCAGCCCAAGGCAGCTTATCCAGCTTGTCGACTGCGCTGGATATCGTCCGGATCTTTTCTGGTGGAACGCCGCAAACTTCGAACAGCCCGTCCAATATCCTTCGGTCGTTGATCTTGATCGTGTACCTTCCACTCCACTCCAGGGTCTCGAAGACTTTGACAATGATCGAAATCATTTCGCTATCGTTGAACATCGGAGCACTCTCGCCGGCAAAATCGATGTCACACTGCCAGAACTCACGCATGCGCCCTTTGGAGATGGCAGGTTGGTCTCTCCTGTAGACTTTGCCTATTGCGTATCTCCTCCAAGTCTCGATATCTGGATTCATTGCCAGCCATCTGGCAAAAGGGACTGTCATATCGTAGCGGAGTGACAGCAGCTCGCCGCCTTGGTCCTGCAGGTCGTAAATTAATTTCGAATCTTCCCCATATTTTCCTTTCAGAACTTCTTGCAGCTCAAAAACTGGAGTGTCAAGTTCTAGGCCGCGATAGTGTTCGAATACTTTCTCAATTTGTCTCCTGATGGCTTTGAGCAGGTCGATATCCTCACCAGACCAATCTCGCGTGCCCTTCGGATTCTTTATCACTTCCTTGCTCTTCTTCTTGTCCTTGCCCATCGTGGCGCAGTTCCGCGAATGATATCGTAGACTTGAGGACGGGAATATGGTGTAGATGCGTCTGTAAACCGGCAGATTCGTGCTACAGGCTCGTAGAAGACTGCGCATGTATAACTGTCGTCGCAAGAATCCGATTGACATATCAGAAAATGAGGAACAGGTAAGGTGGAAATTATTGGGCACCGAGAATCACGTGATTAGTTTGTCTGACTCATTTTACTAGTAGGTAAGAATCTTCGTGGAAAGGAAGTAATACTTCGTATAGAACCCGATCCGAATTAGCTTATACTTCCCCTTTCTAATGGCCTAGAGCAGCTCGTTGGAAATCAATCAACCCTTACATTATAGCGACCCCCAAGGGAAGCCCCGCTGGGACTAGGCGGCTGACGCCACCCCGCTACAATTAGTCAAGCGAAGCAACCACTTGGTTTACAATGCATATAGCAGATCAGAAACACTTTTCGAGAAGCTATCGCCAATGTCTACCATCTACGTCGACTACATCAGACCCCTACAGCCAGCCAACCAACGCGAAGTCTGGATCATCCAAAAAGCTACTTGCGGTCCTACCACGTAGTTGAACCTGGGATGTGCCCTGGACTGTAGCTCCCTCTTTGCGGACTGCGCAATGCACCTCCAATGACCCCTGCAGCTGCTGGACTGCCGTTGTTCTTGCCCCTGCTGCTGCCACTTCCTTTGCGACCATTTATATCGTACTCGGTGGAGGTTGGCATCGGAGGAATCGGATCAGCATCCTCAAAGTCAGCAGAGAAATTGCTGATTCCGCCGAGAGAATGATTGGTATCCGATCTCGGTCGTCGTTGGTCACCAGAAGGAAGGGTCTTGGCGTATGCAGCAAACGGAGAGCCTTGGACTTCGGGGATGATGGGGCTATTGGGAAATGCTTGAAAGCTGCCAAACGCATATGGGCGGGCGTGCTGCGGGGGAGGACGAGTACCGGGTAGGTCACCTTCTGGCGTGAGAGGACCGCTGTTGCTGAGCATCATTTGTCTTTGAGCCATTTCTTGTTTCTCCAAATTGTCAAGCTCGCGAAGATTGATTTCCCATCGCTGCCTTGCGTTCCTCAGTTCCCTGTCTATATTGTAGATCTCCTGGTTGAGCTCGGCCTCGCGTTTTTGTTGTTCGGCTCCCTTGGCATTCGATTCGGCAGCTCTTCTCTCTTTCTCATTGAGTCCTTGCGCATTGGCTTGGGTGATCCTATCGTGCTGCTCAGTCAACTTAGAATTGCGGGCAGTCAAACGTTCTTTGCGTGTAACAATAGTGTTCAATTCTTGGTTGACACAAGTCTTGTCGTCCTGCGCGGCCGAACGTGCCTTTGCCAGGGCATCGTTGGCTTCGGAGAGGAGCTTCTGTTGTTCATCATGCGTTTCTTTGGCGGTGGCGTGGTCCTCATTCTCATCGTCAGGCGTAGAGACCAGGTTTTCGAGCGCGGCGTCAAGTTCCTGTGTGGCATCCTCAGTCTGTCGGATATTTCGCTCGGCTTGCAACAGCTTTTGCCTTTGCTTCGTGTCGTCGCTGGCGGTCTTCAGTCGAGTGTTAAAGCTGTCCACTTCCTTTTCGACCTTGACCAACGCAGTCCTGTGTTGACGTCGAACTTTAGTAAGGCGATTGCGGGCTTCGTTTAATTTGGCTTCGGCAGACGAGATGGAATTTTTCAGGGTGGTGGTAGGCGACGATGGTGTTGAAGATTGGCGAACTGAAGCGGGGGCCATCGAGGCGGGCACATCTTTATCTAACAGCATCGGCGTCTTGACCATGATGGATGCGAAACCTTCGTCTCCGTCACAGCTAATGAACGTACAGGTATAAGTGCAGTTTGGTGCGAGCCCAGATATCGTACCCGTCCACTGGGCACTGCCTCCATCATGCCGAGAAGAATTGTCAAGTGGCTCAAGGGATACTGCGTGCCACTTGGCGCCATTAATGCGTACGTAGAACGGCCTGCAGTCTGTTCCCTGAGGGGGCCTTTGTGTTTGCTCAGATTCATAGACGTAGGTTGCTTCAAATGAAATCGACGAAGGTTCCACATTGGTGATCCAAACAAGGTCTTGATGTGATGCTTCGAAAGGGCCGCCTTCCTTGTCCCCCACGGTCGGGAGAGCCTTGTTGTGCTCAACCTCTCGTAAGACGTGGACTTTGGTGCTGGCGAGAGCAGCCCAGAATGGCTGTCTGCTTCTGACGTGGTTTGCCTGACGCCTGCGCTTCTTCGCACTCACGCCTTTACTGTCCTTGCCGTCTTTGAACCCAGGCGTTGAAGGAGGCTGGAAGTCGACAGAGGACGAAACAGCGGTGGGGCCAGAGCCGTCTAGAACCGAAGCATCTGACACAGACCCTGCCGAGGCTTCGGTATCTATGCGTTTCGATTTGGCTGTTCCTGTGGTATAGGAGGATATGTAACGACGAAAGCTCGCCATTACGCCCTGGGCGATTATGTGTATAGCGAATAGACTTCTAAAATACGACGGCGGGCCGGGACTGTCGCCGAAATCGTGATCCGAGGGGAGATATTTCAGGTAGTCCATGAGCCCGGTCTGGGAGAGGAGGTCGACAGGTACCAAATTCGAATAGAGAAATCGACGAACTTCTCGGCTTCGCGCCAGGTGCAACAGGAGCACCCCCGCCACACAGAAAGTA